ACACGGACACACGGACACACGGGATGGACACACGGACACACGGGATGGACACACGGACACACGGACACACGGACACACGGACGGGCACACGGACACACGGACCGACCGACGGACACACGGACGGACTGACGGACACACGGACCAATGGACGGACGGACTGACAGCCTCGACAGACAGACACACAGACAGACACACAGACACACAGACACACAGACACACAGACAGCCGCGACAGACAGTGGCGACAGACGCGATAGAGAGCGGCGACAGAGAGCCGCGACAGACAGACAGCCGCGATAGACAGCTGCGACAGAGAGCGGCGACAGACAGACAGCCGCGACAGACAGACAGCCGCGACAGACAGACAGCCGCGATAGCTGCGACAGACAGCGGCGACAGACAGCCGCGACAGCCGCGACAGAGAGCCGCGACAGACAGACAGCCGCGACAGCCGCGACAGAGAGAGAGCGGCGACAGCCGCGACAGAGAGCCCCGACAGACAGACAGCCGCGACAGACAGGACAGAGAGCGGCGACACCTGCCGGGGACAGCGGCGACAGTCGCGACAGTCGCGACACCTGCCGGGGACAGCGGAGCGAGGGTCGGGGGCGCGCTCGGAAAGGTTCGGGAATGATCGGGAATGGGGGAGGGGAGGGGGGACAAGGGGACAGGGGGACACTGCGGTGTGGGGACAGGGGGACAGACACCGGGATTTGGGGACAGGGGGATTTGGGGACAGGGGGATTTGGGGACAGGGGGACAGCGATGGCGGGACAGGGGGACACTGGGATCTGAGGATTTGGGGACAGTGGGACAGGGGGATGTGCGGATTTGGGGACACGGGCAGGTGGGGACACAAAGACGGGGCCGGGGGGACACGGGGGACACGGCGCTGTCCCCCGGGCTGTCCCCGCGGGGGGTGACGGCGACAGGAAGCGCTTGGGGCGCGGGGGGTCCCCAATGTCCCCCAATGTCCCCCCGCTGTCCCCCCCATCCCCGCTGTCCCCCCAATGTCCCTCAGTGTCCCCCCAATGTCCCCCGCTGTCCCCCCAATGTCCCCCAATATACCCCCAATGTCCCCCGCTGTCCCCCAATGCCCTCCAATGTCCCCCCAATATCCCCCAATGTCCCTCAATGTCCCCCAATGTCCCCCCGCTGTCCCCCCAGTGGCCCCCCCCGTCCCCGCTGTCCCCCCAATGTCCCTCAGTGTCCCCCCAATGTCCCCCCGCTGTCCCCCAATATCCCCCCAATATCCCCCAATATCCCCCAATGTCCCTCAATGTCCCCAAATGTCCCCCCCCTGTCCCCGCTGTCCCCCGGAAGCCGCGGGCCGCTTCGCCCCCCCCGGGCCGGTCCCGGAACGACCCCAAACTCCCCCCCC